TGGGTTGAGATACTAATGCCACTTCAATCGGCATTTGGTTTAAGTCTTGAAGATCTCACCCATCCAAGTACATATTCAGCCACGCCCCGATGTTAATCTGAGGAGGCGGTATGCCATTTGCAAAATTATTATCGACCAGACTCATTCTTCCTAATAAGATTCCAAAGTGCAATTAAAGACTTGCCTCACTCAACTCCACCGCATCATGGATAGCACGGCCCGCCGAATGAAAGATCTCTCACTAAATGCGGCACCTCCTTCGATTCACATCAACGGCGAGCCTCAAGTCGACCCTGTTGACTACATGTCATTGGTCTCGTCATGGATCCACCCGAGTTTACCTCCTTTGGAGAATGATACAGCGAATGTTAATGTCCAGCAACATCTCGACTCAAGGCTCTATGGCAACGCAGTGAGCAACCCGATTGATCCTGATTGCAGTCCATCATTCTGGCCTTTGGAACTATTCAATCACCTTTTTGACCGGAAGGCCATCTCTGATGTCGTCAACGACCTGATTGACAGAGATGTCATTCAGGTTGGTCCGGATCAGTCGGCTGATATGTCCCGCATCTCTTGGACAGAGACCATCTATGGTGACGGAAGAAGTCTCAAGGGTTATCGACTTGTGCTAGCCATTTTGATATCTCTGAACATGGCACAATGCATCGAAAGCTTTGTGGCCGAAGGGCTTGGAGATGAACATTTGCCACTTGAACTGAAGCGGATCAAGACGTATCATGCTCAAGGCCAAGGTCAACCAAACAGCCCTTTTTCTGGCTGGCGACACGGTCTGTTGGACAATTTTCACGATTTTCAGTATCGACTATTAGTTCCGACCTTGGCCAAATCACCAAGTCAGGGGGAAGCACACCACTACCATTTCCACATAAAGCAAATTCTCCCTTGGGTCTCGATACCAAACAGAAACTCTGCAAACTCCGCCAACAGGTCGACTATCACTTTGGGTGGTGGTTATGGCGAAGTCAAGCAGATCGTGATTCATGCTTGGCAACATTTCTTCCACGAGACGCTCCGCGATGTAATACTGAGCCCCCTGTTAGACACATATAAAATTGCTGACAATTGATGAAGCTGTCTGCAAGTCCCAGCTGCTTCGCGCTGAAAAGGCTGTACATCTCGGACAAACAAGAATTTGACCAGGAAGTGAAACACTTAAAGCGATTCGGCGGCCAACATCGTCACATTGTTACCTTACTGGCCACCTTTGAGCGAAAGATAGTAGGAGAGATTGAGTACTCCCTTTTGTTCCCCTGGGCCAACTGCGACTTGCTAGAGTTTTGGCGCCGAGAGACAAACATGAATAGAGATCACCAGCTGCACATGTGGATTTCAACCCAGTTATGTGGCATCACGGACGCTCTCAAGTACATACACGATCCCAAAGTACTAGATGCAGATGGCAACAAATTATTCGGTAGACATGGTGATATCAAGCCCGAGAACGTTCTTTGGTTTAATTCATCGGCCCGAGGAAATCTGGTTCTTTCGGACCTTGGACTCACAAGAACACACCGCATAGAAAGCCGATCGAACAGGCCCGGGGAAAGAATACCGGTGTCTCCCAACTACAGACCCCCCGAGTGCGATATTGATGGTGATAAGGGTAGGGTGTCCAGATCTTTCGATATTTGGACGCTAGGATGCCTCTTTCTCGAGTTTATGGTCTGGGTTCTGGAAGGCTGGGATGGACATGCAGCCTTTGAAACAGAACGCATGTCTCCTTACATTCACGGCCATCACACGCCTGTGTACTTTGAGATCCTTCGCGTGAGCGAAGATGAGTACGCGGTGGATATAAAGGACAGCATAACCAAAGTAAGCCTTCCTGCTGCAGCTAGGTACATGTACAACCCAGAACCACTAAAATTTCGCAGAAGATTGCTCAACTTCGAATGCATCAGCAATGTACGCAGTACATTCACGACATGCTAGACTTAATACAAAGCAGAATGCTTATAGTTCAGTCCAAAGAGCCATTGCAGGTTCGTATTGCAGCGCCCGAGTTGCATGCGAAGTTGCAAGTGATGGAAATCAACTGTAGGATGAGGGACTACTGCATGCTTCCAGCCAAGTCGACCACAGTCATAAGTCCTCATCTACCTGTTCGCGCTCGTCTCAACAAGGTGGCACTAAAGCATATTGCAAATATCGACGCTGATCACTTCAGCAGCATCATCAGAGTCAGCCGAGGTCCAATGAGAACTGGAGCGCTTCCGTAGAGCTTCGTCTCATTACTTCAGATGCCTTCAGCAAGTCGTCGACTTGAGAGCTCGCAGTTATCTCTAGTATCGTGATAGTTTGGTTCACATTCTCAATCTACTGCAACACTTTTAAAAGAGAGATGACTATGTATCCCGCGTTCAGAAGAAGTACTCAGTTAACTTGGGCGTAATGGTCGGCTTCAATCGCTCTCAACACTATCTCCCGCTCATTCTTGATATCGAGTAGTTAACAAGTGTTCCAATGGATCAATGACAGATTGGCTATGCTCTCATGCTTTACCTGCGTCAACTTCCTCGGGATGGTACAAAAGAAGCGCCCCCTTTCCGACTTTATTTTAGAAGTGGTGGTTAGCGAATGAGCATTTTACATGAACTAGGCGCCTGGAATGGCGGTGCAAGAAGTTGAACCGGTACTTACCGAGATTTGGAATTTTTGACGCGGGAATATTACTCGGAGGTATTGCGATATGACCGACTCGTCGGTATATCTACCACGGAAAACTTCTGTGGCCATTGTCGCGGGGGCAAAGAGAAAAGCCTGGATCTAGAGTAAGACAAAAAGCAATTTGTGATATGTGGACGGAGAGAGAGGACTCTAAGCTACGAAAGGAGTGTTGAGAGCTGGAGAGAACAGGCCACGCAACCCTACATTTGTAGGAAATAAGGGACCTGGGGACGTATTTTTCTTTTTAGGAAACCCAAGATCCGCCTTGGCGAATTGAACATTCTATGTAGAAAGCCCTACGGGAAGCCGACAGCTGTGTCTTACACCAGATTTGTCGCCCTTACCAACCACTCCGACCAGCTCATCCAGCCACATCCAACCAAGTAATAAAAGGAAGTAAGGGTACACGTGGCGATGTTAACGCCAAATGCCTTTCATCAGTTTCGACAGGAAACGAGTAATAAAGCACCGCAATGTAGGAAAATAGGGCCGAAGGGATAGCACGTAGAGCCCCAGGAAGTCGTGCCTCCGCATGGCCACGGAAGAGTACATGTGGGATTCATTGTGTCTCACTGTCCGCAAAATTTTCTTCCCGCTGGAAAAGAACCTGTCAGTCAGTAGTACCTACAAACATCCACGGTATCTGGTGTTGGTATGTGCGGGCGAACCATGGGATACGTGGCGAACTACCTTCTGCTTGTTTGCCTACACTAGTTTTGAGGAATGCTACTGGGTACCTCCACCACCAATCAGAAGACACTTTGTGATGCCTGATTGTACATCTGGTCCCAGGCTCTCGGCGAGCCGCCTCTTACGACTCAATTACCCGGTCACAGCATGATTCGGTGTTTCCCCATGTTTGGAGGTGGTGGCGGAGCTCAATCAAACACGAAATCAATGGTTGTGTGCGACCTTGGCAATCGATCGCCTTGCCCTGCCACAGAGAGGTACGTTGCATAAGCACGCCTCGCTTACGCTCGGTGTGGTATGATTCACGATACCTTACAGCGTCAACTTATTTCACATTCCTACCTAACACTTACCTACTAGATGAAGCTGATGATAGCATCTTTCGAGCTATCATGGATTGGCCATCAGATCAATGTGGCCTGAAGACGGCCGACTTTGCGAGAGTATTTCGATATAATCCTCAAGCCACTACCGTGGTGAATCTACTGAAAAAGGACTGTGTGAGTAGCTCCGTTTTCCGGTAGTAAGCAACAGTGCTGACATCAAAAAGGGGCCAGTCGTATGGTCTCATAAGACAGCTGAAGATTGGAGATCCTGGCTCAAAGACGTAAGTCTCTTCGGTTCGCAGCGCCAACTTCACTCACACTCATTGCTCTGAGTTAGTACCCTCCTTCTGTCAATGAAGATTCCGGTCTTGTTCTCATGTATGTAACTTTGGCCACTCTGGGGCTACTTATGTCTCACAACTAGTCGATTATGAAGTTTTGCTCGAAAACCAGGTGAACCGCAAAGTGAGATCGGAAAGTTGGCATCAAGAGAGCCGGATTCCTCTTTCATAAAATCTCCAAGCGGCCTGCAAGGCACTTTCAACGAGAAAGATCGATCCTTGACCTGGCCTAAGAATGAAACTGTATTGAACCACGGTGGCCAGTCTGAAAAGCCTCCCTTCGACGTCGACAACAGTTTGAAGGGAGGAGAAAGGGATGTTCGACAGCTACCTTTCGACGAGATCACATTCAAAGACATTTGCGAAAGGTTCTTTGTACATTCTTCGATATCGCGAGTCATCAGCCGAGCTGATGTCTCTCATTTCTCCAAGTCTCGAGTCTCTGTACAGGCCGGAGATTCAGACTCAACCAGCTACCCTGCAGTCGGTGTGTTGAACCATTATATCCAATCCTTGATGACGACGCCCAAAGCTAATCTTACCCACAGTCTACCACTGCAGGTCTTCCAACACTTGGGCAGATGATATGGCATTGACTGCAACTTACTTTCCCCATAGCCAACTGACCTTCGCAATACTATTTGGATGTACCGCAGAGGTCGAGAAGAACGTGTTCAATAGACTAAGTCGGGCTAAAGATCGAGTGTCGCATCCCATGATTCTTCCAGGTATATTTGCAGAGATAGAACGAGATCGCATGATCAAAGTTGTTGAAAAGACAGTAGATGATATCGAAGGGGCCATATTCGATTTAGGCACCGGAAATCCAATTGAAGGCGATACGCTTCAAGAAGAGAATAGGATCGATACGAGACGTTCTCGGAGAACAGCATGGTTGAACACCACGTATCTTCGCAACAGCCTTCGGGTGTGGAAAGTTCAGCTTCAAAAAATGGTCGATCACATCGCTCAACCCCCGAGCTTTGACAAAAGTCGTCCTAACAACGAGGAGAATGAAGAGCTGGGCGACGATGAACCGAGGAACCAGAGAAATGGGTGGATGGAGACTACAAGCACAATGATCAGTGACAGACTTAATGTTCTCATCGAGGAGTTTGAGGACCGAATCCAAGACTGTACCATGAGTGTGGAAGGCATGACCATCGCAACACAGTGGGTAAGTCTGACGCAACCTCAAACTCTGCAAATACCCTTCACCTACTTCGCTGTAATATTGACTACGAGGATAGGCCCAGGGTGATACAAATGTGGACATTGCAACTGCCACAGGCCGTGATTCCAGACAAATGCGATCCATTGCTTTGGTGACGATGATCTTCCTGCCCGGGACATTCTTCGCCGTGAGTATTCCAGGTTCTCGCATATTGCTGATGTTGGCAGGTTCTATCAAGACTGACAAAAGGCATAGACGCTATTCTCCATGACATTCTTTGACTGGTCTACAAATGACGACAAGAAGTCGGTTGTATCAGGATACATATGGATCTACTTCCTGGTCACCGGTGTTTTCACGGCATCCACGCTTGTAATTTGGTGGTATTTTCTATCGCCACGCAGAAAGAAATATCGAGGCTGCAACTTTGCTGCTTCAGTCTTTTCCAGTCAAGAGATCTAGACCTGGGAGCTTAAGTACTTGACCTAGGCACTGCATCGAACCCTGTAGTAAGTAAATGCACGGATACAAGATACCTGACTACTAATACAAATTCAAGGCCACTCTAGATCATCTGAGACTTGGAAGTACTCATTTGGGCTTTGTGTTCAGATTTGGGTTCATGCGAAGCGATTGTGAGTGGTCATTGGTGATAATGCAAGGCTTATCAAGGCTAGGAAAGACCCATGTGGCCAAGGAATGCAAAAGAACACATGCACACCCACAATCAATTATCGTAGCTTCGCCAAAACTTTACTAGACACCCAGAATCGAATAACCTGCCATTCTGCAGGTCTTTGCAAGCAATATGGGGTTGTTTCCCCAAGCTTCATGTCCCACCAAAGAATGTTGTGTTTTGCGAACAGAGACAAGACTACATTTCCCCGTTCTTCAAGTTTAGGTTCATAGAGTCCCTTGAGCGCCAGTGCCGCACTAGATGTCTATCCATCACAAGTTTATGCTATTTGAGTGTATCCTTGCACTGCCACAGTCAAGGCAAATCTACTCCTTATTTCTGACTGCGAGCTGTCGGCGCTTTTTATCTGCCAGATGTCCCCCCTTCAAAACCAATTCTCCAGCCTTGTTTCGAATCTCGAAATCATCAGAGGTTGTCCAGTCGTGCATAGACGTCTTTTCTCTGATGGTGTCCCGGCCAACTTGGTTCTGAATGTCGCGGCGGCCATTCAGAAGATCGTTGCTGAGTTTTGCCTGTGGTCTGGTCAGAAAAGCATCCTTATTAGTGTCCATAAAGAAAACTTACCCCTCGTTCTTTTGACGGCGCACCAGCATACTTGCAGAACCAGTCTGCACGGGTAAGGGAATGGACTATCATTTTGCAGTCCTGTCAATTTATTAGAAACGTCGAGGTATCTGTAAATGAGTCTTGTGAAGATACCTGAAGATTTTCACAGATGGCCTGCCATCTATCTGAAAACGTGTTGAAGTGCTCCCACGTTGACACTGTTCTCGATCCTGACCACATAGGGCGCATGGTGAATCCCTGTTGTTGATCCATGGCGCAACGCTGGATCCAAGGTCAGTTATGTTGGTACAAGAGAAAGAAAATACCAGATCGTGTGCAACATACCAGTAGCCTCCAGCACAGTAACTCCAACTCAATATCCGAGATTCGGTGATGAATCACGGCCTCTAAGATGTCCACAGGCGTACCTTGGTCATTCAGGAGAGCCCAATCGGTCTTACTCATTCCCTTGGGTCTTGTCGATGGATTGAGACTGTCATCTTCAGTAACACCGCCTCTCCGTCGCTTTCTTGGGTTCTCTGGGGCTTCTGGGCCCCAGCCTTCCTGCTGTGTGTTTGTAATTCTGTGAAGGCGCTCCCGGGCTTTCCTCAGCTCAAAGAAATCATCCAATTCGGTGATGCTTTCGAAGAGCTTCTTCACATACGCCCGCTGCTGCTCAGACGAAGCTGGCCAAGATGCGTCCTTGTTAGGGGTCTCGCCATTGGCGCGCTTCACATGCCTCTCATAGGCACTATCCAGCTCTTTGGAATGTTCCATGTTCTCTATGATGCCTCTATACTGGAAGACTGGAGTAACGACTAGTTCTGCCTCTAGAAGAGGATGCTTGTGCCGCGTCGGAGACAAGGGCCGGGAATGGCCTGTATTCGGCACTGCATCTGGCACCGGAGGAGTAGAACTCGGCGGCATGGCTAGCTGTTGCTGTATCGAAGCATCTTTACTGGCAAGCTTAACAGAATGATCTGGGTCATCGCTTGACTTCTGCGGCCAGTCATGAACACTCGCTCGAAGCTTCAGAGCCTCGATAGCTTCGTCGGCATCTTCAGGAGAGGAGGCTGCCACATTAGAGATCCACTCATGGAACCTCACCACGAGACCCCATATAGTGCTTCGATCAGATCGATTGTACAGCAGGGTTGAGTAAAACTCAATATTCGGGAAGAGCCTAAGATGGTCGTGAAAGCGGTAAGGGATGATATCATCTAGGAGGGCCACGTCAGTTTTGGATACGAAATCTAAGCCGAATTTACTCCGGCGAACTTACTGAAGAAAACATCAAAGATCCACATCTTACTCTCGGAAGGCTTCGTAGGGTCGTCAAGCATGTCGAGATCGGCTTGAAATAAAGACACCTGAGCCACCGTGGTGACAGGGGTAGCGGAAGACACAAAATCAGTCGTCGGATTCTCGTCGAACCACTGGAATGCGACCGGCGCAATTCCATCAGCGGGCATGTCAAAGTTGAAGTTTGGCATGTGGAACTCTGGCATATCGAAATCTGACATGTCCAAGCCGGGCGTGCCAAAGTCCGGCATGTTGAAGCCTAGCGAGTCGAAGTTCGACATGGCCGTTGACGAGTTGCACTGGAATTGGGGTAGATACCGAAAGAATTCGGTGTGGTAATATCGAGATAGAGTCCAGAGAGGATAGGGGTTGCGGGATTGCCGGTATTTCGCGGTAGTCTGCGGTGTAGGGATAGAGAGAGATGGAGAAGTGAAGATCTGTCGCAGTGAAGTCCTCTATTTAAGGGCCGGCAGAGGAAGAAGACCGTCCCAGGGCGGCTTCAAGTGAATCGCTGGGAATAGCTTCACTCTCATCTGGTAGTCTACTAGGGCCCGGCGATTGTGGGTCTAGCCACCTTCGCCTTGGCCCGAGCTTTGTCAGGTGGTTTACTACCACAAATAAGCTCCTTGACGATATTGATAAGATGAAGAAATGTGAAGCTCAACTACTCCCAGATAAGAAATTAGAGAAGGTTGACCCACCCTCGCCGGCGAGTATGGAGGGGATAAACAGAAGCTGGAGACATATGTGAGCGTTCCAGGCGGTAGAAGTCTGCCGATGAGAACTGCTACTGCTGACTGTTATGAGAAGGCCCGTCAATCTCCACGAGAGCCTGGCTGCCCGGAGGAAGAGACACGCTTGAGCCTCACATGGATCGCCATCTTGCGCGTTATAAACGCAAAATAGAAAAAGGAGGGTTCCAGAGAAGCTTGGAGCTTGATGACATCGAAGCCCGTGCCAAATAATCTCACTACATAATAGCCGGCTTCTTGTTCTTGTGCCAGTCTGAGGGAGTTAGGGAGTTAGGGGGGGAAGACGACTTCATATAGGTCTCCTTGCCCATGAGAGGCTATTGATACCTCGTGTAGTCTGTTTGCTTCCTACTACTAGTCTATGCTCAATAAAAGCAGACGCTTTGCATTGTAGAATGGTTTGTAACGGGTTGAAGCACACTCACTGCTGTCAACAAACAACTTTCTATCTGTCCTGGACACTCTCAATATCGCCAAACACACCTCATCACTCGAATTCTGCCTCGCATCTGAGAAGAATTCCAACAAATGGCAATAATCCTTATTGTAGCGGAAAGGAATATCACTCTGCGAAATCGATTGCGAGGCAAGCCCTACGGAAGGCAGCTGGGAATCGAAAGTGAACCCCCTAAATTCGACAGACAGTCAACACAAAGCATCAAAGATCATTCGGGCATCGTGTTCAACCAGTAAAGGCCGTGGTAAAACTCAATACAATGCTCAGAGGTGCGTGCTCATTGCAAGAAACCACTCTCATCTGAATCAATATTGACAAGGCTTGGGGCCCCTCAGCAAATCTGCGAAATTTTCTTAGGTATATGATCCCGGGTGAAAGACTGAGCTCCTGGAGTGATGCACTGACAATCCCGGACTGGTAGGAGAAATATTGGATATGTTGCATATCTTTACTAGACATTCTTTTCCTTTCTCGGCGGTGGACATCTTGCATGCAAGAGAAAGACGCAGTCAGTGATAAAGCGACGTGAATTGAGGCAACGCACGCAAGACGGAAAACCTTGGCAAACAACTCGACAGGCAGCTTCCCGAGAGAGTTGGTATGGATAGAGCTTGGCAAATCCATGTAATCAGTTTAGTCGTTGATGATAGTTTGGAAATCACGGTTTTGGAGCTGGATCTTTCGCATTAAGATAGAGAGTTGAGTTGACGTTGACGACGTCCGACTGTGACACAGAAGAAAATTCGTTGGGCTATGCTTCCTGGCGCGTCTCTCTGATGGCCACAAGACGCGTAACGCGTGGAAATTAATGTGTCCAACATAATGAAGCGGTACAGACGACTCGGATTAATTCCAATACAAGCCTCAGCCACACGAGGACCGGATCAACATGGAAATTTGTTGTCTTGGGACAGACTCTCCAATCCCAGCCATGATCGTATCACTCCTCATACATGTGTTCTCGAAGCACAAAAGGCTGTTCCATATCCACACAATGAAAAAATGCTGGCACGACAGGGCTCGTTGGTGCTTCTCCGTGCAAGAATAATCCCTTGCAATGGTGCCGATGTTCGGTCGACGCCGACAGGTTGTGAATCAGCGACCGTTGATGCTCGACGCTGTGGAGCAGATTATGCCATGTGTAAAAGCAGTGCTCTTGGTGGAAGCGCAGATCCGTGTAGAGTATTCTCCTCTCACCAGCCATAAGCACTTCTTCAGACGCTGGCTTCGTGAGGTTCTTGTCGAATGCCCAAGGGCTCATGTTGAATGCGTTGTACGTGCTGACGAGATCGCCGTTATAGCACTGAGATGGAACCCAGCCATAGGCCATGACATCAAAAACGCAGCCTTTCGCCTTTGCCTCGGGGACTGTAGAGCCGCAGGCGTGTTTTGAAACACCGTGTTGAGGGGATTCGATGCTCAACAAAGAGTATTCATGGCTGAAAGCGCCGAGTGCGAACAGTAGAAGAATGATCAAAGCGGAAGAGCAAAGAAATCTGGAAAGGTGGAATCGATGTCGGTCCACAGAAGAGTCAATTTGGTGTTGGCTATCTTCCTTTCTAAGAAGGACGTCAGCCTCGGGATCATCTTGGAAGTTTGCCATGACGACTACCCGAAACCAATGATCGATGTGTTGGTGACTGGAGTTTTGAAGTTTGCAGGAAGTATCTGTAATGCTCATGAGATGCCTTGTCCGTGAAAATCTTCGAAAGTTGGAGAGTAGAAAGTAAAGGGAAAGACTTCGGACAGTGGGTTTAGGTCCCAAGGCGGGCACAGAGAAGTTGAGATCGGGACATTCTTACCACCTTCCTCTCCCATATTGCCATCGTCCCTCACAACACTCCAAGATATCAACTATCAAATATCATGTTTGTCTCGGGGCCTCAAACTCGTTGTATTGTTCCTCCATCGAGTTCAATCCCACATTCTCGGCACAGACAAACATGGGTTTGATTAGCGAAAGGTAGCCGCGACGTCGCCAGGTGAAGTTTCCTAACTAAGTGTACCGAACAGTCTCCCCTGGTTGTTGCTAATTCTAGGAGGTACTTTTCCGCATTCGAAGTTGTCCTGAGCTGGGCAACTGTTGACGGCGGTTCCGATATGCATGTTGGTTAACGCAGCTGTTGGCGTCCTTCCTTGTCGCCCCCAGTTTATACAGGGTCACCCGCCCGGCCCCCCCAAGAAAACGCCCGCACACACAAATATAAAACTACCGAGCCAATGAGTGAACATGTACTTTTATATATGGTAACCTTTGTTCAACTTACCCTTGTCCTTTACCTGTTGGTGGGTGAAGCCGTTGGAAGAACTAGTAGTCCCGGCGTCAGGCGGAGAGGGACAGGCGCTGAACATGTCCATAGTCCGATCCAACACCATGTGACTGGACATGGATCTTGCAGAACAAAGCCCGCCCAGTCGACGCCATGCGGTTTGCTTTGGAAACCACAGACATCACATATATCACATTGGCGCTTATCACCTTGGACCCCAACTCCCCAAGGCCGACGATGCTGTTGGTGTTTCTCCCGTGAAGGATGTATGAGACTCGTGCCACACTATGCTTGTCCAAAGACTCCTTGACTTTGAAATCGTGTCCGAGAACATGGTTCAGACTTATCGTTCCAAAGCTTAAAAGAGGCTTGACTCTCCCTCGTCGAGAAATAGACTCGGCGAATCCTTTCACTGAGCATCATCACCAGCAAGCCTCATATCCTCAATCAGCAGCCTCAAAATGCTCTTCAATAGAGTTCTCCTTTCTATCGCCGCCATCATAGGATCTGTTCTCGCTGCCCCAATTCAGCCCAAGGCAGACCTTGATCCCAGATTCATCTACGCGAGCCCTTCTATTGCTACATTCGGCGATGAGGGCCCGGTCGAAGAAGCTACGACAGACGCCTCGACTGCTTGTGTTGAATGCTTCTGATTTATAAATAAGGTATGGCCGTGTTTCTATTATCCTGTCTGCAATGGTTTCAGCGGCATCTACTTAGCAACTGCCTTAGTTCATGAAGTTATAGGAGGAGTCAGCCAGTGATCAGCATATGACAAGCTACTTGCGCATTTCCAGAACGCATAGCGCCGGGTCTCGGCTAGGCAATGGCAAGGAATCTACCAATACGCAGAGGAGGAACAACTAATAGCAATAGCAATGTTCCCGTAGCATAAATTGAGTGATTGGACATTTGAAGTCTTTTGGGTCCGAAGCTCTCTTACAAAGGTCCCAGGATGTATTGTGTTTCTTCCACATAACTGCCCAAGCGTGTCCATATGTCCAGGTCCTCTGGCCAGGAAGATACCATCACTATACGAGCCTTGTGTGTCAGATAACTTGCTAGGCAAGGGATTCTTTGGTCTCTCTCTACATGTTCAGGCCGAGGCTTGGCATCTTCTCGCTCCAAAGAACATGGTGGCAGCACAGTTCTTGCAGGCCCATAGGCTTGACTGAAAGCCGCTTTCCAGGCCTGCTACCTGCCACCTTACAAACTGTTACTATTTCATGTTCATGAGAAATAGAGCTCAATCAACCGACATTGGTTCACGTTGAATTATAAAATCACCCAAAGTTACCATGAAGACCTTCGCAAAAGGAACCTCCTACAGCTTAAAGATCTTGGGGACTTCCAATCATACAAGAATTTGCTATCCTAATGTATGCTTGAATGCAAACTTTATATCGCTGGATTGCGTGTTGCGTAAATAGTACTTGCGGAACTCCTATTGTTTCAATCCTCTTCAAACCAAAGCTCAATCTTCCCAGTGTCCTTGTCAAGCGTACTTTGCGCCTTATTCCAGTGCCCTTTCCCAGCCGTAGCCATGTTCACACGCTCTGCCTTGTTGAAGTCATACCCAATAACGCCTTCCAAGTAAACCTTGTACCCAGCCCAGCTGTGTCGCTTCGCCCATCTCTGTAGGGCCCCCAAGTCTCTGCACTTCTGATGGTGACTGTGCGAGTTGAACGAGACGTACTCGTCCGACCCCGAGAGCGAGATGTCGGCGTGGCACATCAAGTCGTTTCGGATGTGGTCTACGCAGTGCATGGTATGGATGTCGTTGCGCGGCCACTTCTCGAGGGGTATGTTTGATGTGAGTCTGTTTCTGATGCGGTACTACTTCTGTTGGCATCAATTTATCAGTCCTCCTGATTATGGCGTACCAAGCAGTGCAGCGCGTGGAAGACGTTGATTTGGTAAATCTTGGAAGCCGGATCGTCAGGGTGAGAGACTGTCTCGGGAAGTTCCTGTTTCTTTGCCCATTCGCTATGGACCGCGACTATGCCATCAGCTATTGATTGAAGGGTCAGCTATGAGCATGCTAATCAAGTCAAGGGAGAAAGCATACTTTCCTGAAGCTCATGCCAGAACGCGTCTGCTTCCGGCGATTTATCAGCAGCATCTACAATGTCGTAGAGCTTCTCGGTGGAGTTGTAGCTCTCGAGAGTGAAGTCTTTGGAATGAAGTGTTAGTTTTAGTTGACGATTTGACAAGATATGTCGACAAGAAACCCCTTACAATCTTGCTGGTCGATTCCTCTGGATACAGGACCAACATTATTCGTCTGGAAGTTATGGAAGGTAAGGAAGCTAAGCCCCAAGACAGGGATCTGGCATAGGAAAAAGACCAAAAACAGCTTCAAGTACGAGAAGCCCGAAGAGTTCTCTCCCGTGATGGCCTTTTCACAGCGGCTGCACATTCCACCTTGCTCCAAGTCGCTCACCTCTGCCGCCAGGAGTTTGGCACTCATATGAGACGAGTCCCGGTTCATTGGAATGGGGTTTCAGGGCAAGCAAGCACAGTAAGCTCCAACCTAGAGTAAGAGACGTGGTTGCAAAAATCTTCAGGTTGACAATCCGCGCGAGAATACTATGCCATTGAAGCCCATGCGTTTGGAGAAGAATTGGGAAGAGTGACCATATGAGGGAGCTCAATTGCTCCATATTCGGATTCTTTGGATGATAGTCACTGTCTATGCGAGATTCTGTTCATTGTGTTGGACGAGTTGTCTGCGAATCCCATCCATCACTTTTCACTTCCGACCAGCTATCAACACAAAACCTGCATTCTGAGGTAGGTGAGGTCAAAGGGACCAACTCCAACATCATCCAACTGCATTTAAGCTATTGGCAACTGAGAAGCAAACTTGTTCCAAGCCAATGCTTCTTTCCGTGTTTCCGAAGTCGGCAAAGCCTGCTGACTCTTCCCCGAGTCCCTGTCTCGTCCAGATCAAATCGTCAAACATATCCCCTCACACCTTCAACCCCCGGACACATCAATAGATCATATTGTCATCGTGATGTTTGCTCAAACCCCTCCTTTCCCAGCGGCGCAGATGTCACAAAACCCACTTACTTATCTCTCTCAACGCCATCCGAGTGCCGGCACCGGAACGCCGGGCAAGGGTCCAACACCAAAACGTGTCATCATCAATCATCAACCAACAGACGAACACTTCCAACAAGCCAATCACAGCTCACAAACATTTGCTGAAGGAACTACACCCTGGATAACACAAGCTTAAAAAGCCTTTGGCGAGGTCAGAATTATCGTCGGATTCAGGAAGATGTCCGCGTTTACCGCCCTCTTTTATTATGTTGTGGTGACGATGGCGGGATCTGCCAAGGGGCAAAGGTTGAGATAATCGCTTACGAATAGCTTCCAAGGACTCCCAAGGCAGGAAGCAAACAAGATAACATTGCGGGTTTCGAGAGCTTCAGTCGTCGTCACGATCGACGAGAGTGAGCAAACACCCTCGTTATCAAGAATTGGCAGGGTCATTTCGACCGCCCCGTCGGACTCTGCTCGTCGTTTAAAAGGGACCCTCACAGATGCATGTAGGAAAGTGGATGTTATCGTGCCAACGGTTCCCGAGTGCCCGGTTTCTTCAACAGATTCACAATTTCTTCCTGCTAATACTTTTCTCCTCCAAAAACCATACATTACCCTCCACCAAAGCGTTTTGATTGAAGCCAAAGAACTAGTTTTCCACGATGCAACCCCATAGTCCGGACCGTCTGACCGGCCTCGTCCGCCCTAGCGAGAAGACCGCCTACGCTCATCTCCAAGATGAGGAGCTAGAACAGACTCGGGAGGCTAGTCCGCGCCGTTGGTCTTGTTCACCAAGCGTGTCGCAAGTGCTTCTCTTCCTGATCTCCGTGGCTCTTCTCTCCGCTACCGGTGTTCATCATTTTCGCGAAAGCGGACACTCTCACAACCATCGAACAAGTACGAGACATTTTGAAGTAGAGTCGCGAATGTGGTGCTAACATGTGAACGTCAGATGTAGGAAACCTTGAAGAGATCAGAGGTCCGACGATGTTCAAAGAGGCCGATACCTCAGGCCCATCTCCGGAGCTGGATGCTGCTTGGGACAAACTCATCGATGAGCGTAAGCAACCGCTGTCCAATCATTCAATGGCGAGACTAAACTCAACTTTCTAGGCCATTTCATGCTGGTCCCTGATGAAGACTTTCCCAAGTCTGAGTTTAGAGCTAGAGAGCCCCTCCGGGCTTCGACCTCTACTCAGAATGGTACTCTGGCCGTGTTCGAGTATGTCCACGCCTTGCATTGCGTGGTAAGTATCCTCCACCCCATCCGCAGCGCCGGGTGAAGAGGGCTGACGGGTACTTCAGCACCTGATGTGGAAGCAAACATGTCCCGAGTACTACAAAGAAGATCACATGAAGATGAAGAACGACCCGAAGTGGCAACACGCCCACATCAGTATGTCGAGACTTCCCCCTTTCTGCGTTGAAAGAGACATACAGTAGCTAATAAAAGTTGATAGACCACTGCGGGGACTTCTTGAAGCAGTACATTCTCTGCAACGCCAACTTCGCGTTCAACACGTACTCCTTCAACGAGACACGCGGTGGCGCCGACGTGGATATTGTGTCATCGCACACGTGCATTGACTTGGATGCCGCGGACGACTACGCGAACCGACACTACGTCAATGGGTCTGAGCTGGCCATCGCTACCGGCAAAGAGATCACTGCCGATGTATTTTGAGGTGTTGGTGGGAGAGGTTTAACCAGGAAGACTTCATGAGAAGATTGAAAGCTGCTCAGGCTTTACTAGAAGCAGAGCTGCCAATGGGCCAAGGGACTGCGTTTGTAACGCAGACGGAAACCACCTCACTGTACACAGATAGAAGCATGAGTCTTGAGAGAAATGCCAGATGACTTGTCAGGGTATCTCTATGCCTGCTTTTGCCGTTCCGCGACCCGTTCTCGGAACTTTCCTTAGCAAACCATGTGTGACCTCACCACCGAATTCCCAAAACGCCGGCCGGGCTGGACATACATAACCAGCACATCTTTGTAAACAGACATGGAACATAGAGGCAATTACCACTGGCGGCGTCCACCGCGGCCTCTGCCGCCGAATCCGCCGCGGTTGCCGCCTCCCATGCCCTGCTGGTCGTAGCCTCCGTACTGTCCTTGATTTCCGCCAAAGCCCTGGTTGAAGTTCTGACCCTGTCCGCCTTGGCCAGCGTTGCCAGCCTGGCCCTGCATGCCATTGAACATGGCCGACATTTGCGAGGGGTCCATCTGACTGGGATCCATGCCCTGGCCCATCATCTGCTGCATCATGGCCTGCATCTCGGGCGGCATACCTTCCATACCACCCATTCCAGGCATGCCACCAGCCTGCGCGTTGGCGCCAGGTGCGGCTCCTCCGCCGGGTATGTTCATTCCGCCCATCATCATCATGCCAAAGTCCTCCATCATCTTCTTTTGGCCGGCGGCAATAGCGTCGCCGCTGAACTCTCCGCGGACAGCTTCCTGCTTGGCGGCGTAGAGCGCCCACGTGAACTCGTCGAAGCCGTAGTTGAAGTAGTCGCTGATGTCGGTCCCGGGTTTGCGCCAGGGCTTCTCGTTCTCGGTCAAGTCTGTAGACAATGTTAGCAACACGGCAACACAGCAGGTACGAGGGGGCGTTCTTACCCTCGTCAATATTGACCGCGGTGATGGGCTTGCCGACGGGAGGGTAATCGGGATTCGCGTTGACGTCGATCGTAGACTTGGAAGCCGCGGCAGCAGCCTTGTCGGCGCTGGGAATACCGAGAGGGAGGTCGGAGGGTGAGGCTCTCGCGGAATCTTCCTCCTTGGCTGGGGCTGCTTTGATAGCCATGTCGTTGGAGGCTGACCTTTGTGGGATGTTTCTGATGTCGCTGTAGCGAGATTGTCTATTGTTTGTGTGAGCAAAGGCACATGAAAGTTTCATGTCTCTGAAGGTAAACAAAAATTGGGACGTACGTCGGGGGTGCAGCCTTTGTGCCATCTTTGCGCTCGGTGATGATGTCGATATCCTGGAGAAAGCGCCAGAACAGTCAGTCGTCAATTCACGAGTACAAAAAGATGGTGCAAGGTAGGTAAGGTAAGGTATGTACAGAATCATCCTCGTCTTCATCCATGGCGCCGCCCTCGTCTTCCTCTTCGCCCTCCTCGAGCTCTTCTGATTTGCTCTCTGCCGCTTCTACTTTTGGCGACGCCTCCTGTGGAGGAGCAGCAGCATTTTCGGCTGTTGTTGTGCTTGTAGTGGGCTGCTCGGTGGACGGCTCATCCGCGTAGAAATCGTCATCTTCATCAATGTCCATTGTAGCTGTGTTTACGTCTTACGGTGTCGTCGGCAATGTTCCAAGAGGATGGTGGTGGTAGCGGTGGTACGAGTAGAGGTGGGAATGGAGGTGCAGGTGTTGGTGATGCAGCTTTTGCGGGTTGCTTCGCATTCAATGGTTTGGCGCCTGGAGCTCGAAGCTCTGGCGCGCCGAGGGGACCACCACCGAGAGGGCCACGGCGGCCACCGCACAGCAAGGGCCGCCCAGGCCGGCGGCAGCATACGCCACAGCTTGCGCCACAGCAGGTACCACACCAGACTGCACTGGCCAGTTACCAGCCACAGGCGATGGACCTCGACGACCCCCAAAACAGCCCGGCGGACGGTGAAAAGGAACACCGATTAGCCAATGGAGAGCCGTCGCATTTTACCACCAAGGCGGACGAGGCAACGCTCGCTGTTGGAGCTATCGAAGCTGCCCATGGCCCGAGCGCCAAAACAGCAGCCAATTCTTCCCCGTCGAAGATCGCGAAGCAGCAACCAGGAGCAACAAATCATTCAACCCAGGAAGGCCAACACCAACCGATACCGTTCCCACCCAAGTTCCCGGCTTTGAGGACTGACGCGCCCGCGCCTCGCAAGGACACACTTGAACAATTCAATATTGGCGCACTCGAAGAAAAATTCAAGATGTTTGGACGACCGGCCGGTGGCTTGAGCATCAACACTGGTGCCGCCAATGCAGGGTGAGTCGAGAGTCTCGCTATGTTCTGCTCATTGTATATTCCCGAATGCTAACGACAATGCCACTCTTTTCTAGCACCACCAGTACTGCCACAACTTCCGCACCTAGCGGTGGCGGAGGACTCTTCGGAAACTCGACAGCAGCGACTACACAGCCTGCTACGGGCGGTCTTTTCGGCGGCACTTCGACGGGAGGAGGAGGTCTCTTTGGCAACAAGCCTTCGACACCACAACAACCAGCGACCGGTGGCCTTTTTGGAGCGGCACCAGCACAGCAACCCCAGCAGCAGCAAAGCGGCGGCGGTCTTTTTGGAGGGGGCCAGACTCAGCAGCAGCAGCAGCCTGCACAGCACACTGGAGGAGGATTGTTTGGAGGTGCTGCGACCCAGCAACAACAACCTCAGCAACAGCAGAGTGGAGGGCTTTTTGGTGCAGCCCCCGCGAAGCCGGCGACGGGCGGTCTTTTTGGTGCGAGCACAGCGCAGCCCCAGCAGCAGCAACAGTCAACAGGAGGTCTCTTTGGCGGCGGCGGCAATGCACAGCAAACCCAGCAGAACCAAGGCATGGGTGGTGGTCTTTTCGGACAGAGCCAGGCTCAGAACCAACCGAAGCCCGGCGGTCTCTTGTAAGTGGCATTCCCGAGAAGGCGCCTGGCCAGTGATTAACAAAAGATGCAGCGGCCAATCTCAGCCCGCAGGTAGCTCTGCTCCCGGCTTAACTATGGGTCAGTCGACGACGCAGCAAAGCGTTCCTGGCGTGCGAGTAGACATGTCGAATATCAAGGGCACGACGCGATTCAACGACCTAGAACAATCCATCCAGTCCGAAATGGAGAACTGCGATCTCATGATCCAGCGCTTCATGGCACACGCATCCGAAATTAGAGGCTTCATGGCCGCTCACGGTGGTGACCTCGCACAACTCACCAACGACGTCAACTGGCTCCAGCGCAAGTACGAGGGCGTCAAGACGACGCTGGACGAGGATATCGTCACTCTGGGACACCTCAAGGATTTGGTCAAGTCCGACGCGGACATTGCCAAGATGGCGTTCGCAGGCGCCGACCAGCTCAAGCTTCCCGCACACTACCACCAGACCTGGCTCACCCGCGGCGGATCGGGCGGCAACACGACCAACGGCAACCAGGACCGCAACCTCGAGGACGTGCTCACTCTCTTCTCCAACGAGGCCGACCGCCTGAAGGAACTCAGTCAGTTCCAGGTCCAGAAGATTAAGGAGATGGAGCAGCACATGCCTGGTGTCGAACACGGTCTCTACGAGCGCGTACGATCCCTGCGGGACCAGACCCAGGTGCCGGCCTTCAACATGGTCCTCGACCTTCTGGAGACGATCAAGATGATGGGCGACAAGATTTACGAGGCCGCGGGTAGCATCGTTGACGTACGGGAAAAGCTTACCCAGCTCCAGCGCCAATACCCCACCAAATGAGAGAGGAGAGTCAAGATGGAAGTGTCTTGTGGATACATAGTATGCAGGGGGAGGCCACGGTCCAGGGAAGCAAACGGCGTTCAGGTTGGGGAAAAGAATTATATACCGGCAGCATTGGCGAAATGAAGCATTGATAGCTCTCGGGCGACCGTGGCCGCGGATAAGGGTTGTAAGGCTGTAATGATTGGATATTGAGATCCCAGAACGTGATGGAAATGGTCTGCTTCACCTTTGGTGGGAAGTAAGGGTTGTGAGAGACGGGTTGGTGGGTGGCCTAGATGCTCAGGCTCAGTCATATCAGGGCTCGACCAAGAGGATGAATCATTGTCGTCTCGATGCCTCTAAGCGATTCGTTCTCATGGTCCGTACATGACAGGAATACACGAGACGAATACGCAACAGTGCAATACCTTACATTCAAGTCCATCGCCGCATTCGTCAACCAAGCCAACTCGATCCCCATGGTCGAGCGGTATAACGCCCTGGTCCGTTAGTAAAGAACTTGGTGATGAAATTCTGAGAAGTCTTCTCAGATGGAGGGTTTCGTAGGGTGTCCAGTTCGATTCACGAACTGGGCACTTGAGCTTTTGCCTTGTGGGTCTCTTGCCTTCTTCATTACAAAGCCACGTTATTGATTCATATCCCATCGTATCAAACCATGAAATGCAAAAAGTGTGTGTATTTTGTAGTCTGAGCCTTGATATAAGGTAAGGTAATTGATGGGGTATCAGGGAGCTGTAATCCGCTCAGCAAAGCCGTTCATCCGCCCAATAACGCCCGGTGATGCCTCTCGTGTCTGAGGTAATAGCAAGAAGGCCTCTAAGCAAATCCTTCCGCCTTTGCCATGTTCGCCGTCTTCTTCGTCGCCGTAGCCGTAGCCGTAGCCGTACATTCTCAGGAGGTAGATAGGAGGTACCCAAGCCTGGATCAGTACGACCCCTCCCGACCGCCATGCTCATCATCCCCACCGCCATCATCCTCGCCAAACTCGCCGTCGTCAAAGTAGTTCTCCGCGTCGTAATCACCCGCATCAGAGTCATCATACTCAACATCCTGCTCCTCCTCCCCGCCCTCCTCCCACTCCTCCTCCCCACCCTCTCCCTCAGCCTCGCCCATCCTCTCCAGCGCCTCCAACTTCTTCTTCGCCCCATCCGGCCCAACCTCCCCATCCTCATCCCCCTCCGCATTGATATGAAACATTTCTTCCGCCGTAGGCAACGCCGTGATCCGACTCAACTTCAACCTCTTGGCCTCCCCACCCCTCCTCTTCTCCCCCGGCGCGACGTCATCCCCGTCAAGCGTCTCATGCAGCTCCAGCGGGAAGAACTCTTTACAAAACGGCCGTCCGCCAAAGTCGGGGAGGGCGCGCTCCGGGCGGGTGAATTTCTGCGAGTAGGTCGGTACGGCGTTAAACGGGTCCGCCGTGGCGCGGGTGCGCACGCCGTATTTGGCGTTGACCTGTTCTTGGCCGTAGAGCTTGCGTGTGTTTGTCGGGTCCATGCCCCAGGTGCGCTTGCGGGTGTAGAGGGGTCCGTCTTGGAATTGGCGGCGGAAGAGGAGGAAGGCGTTGACGTTTGCTTGTTCGTGGTCTGTGACGGGTTTCGCTGTCGGGACTGCGTAGGCCTGGCAACAGTCACGGATTAGTGTTTCAATCTTGGTGAAGTAGAGAGGTTCCGTCGCGGAGTTTGTGTACGTACGGGAAAGAGCTCTGAAGGTCGTGTATCGGGTGCGTGTTCGCCGTTGTCCCAGGATAGCTGGGGGCCCTGGCGACCCCCGCGCCCGCCGCGGCCACCTCCTCTGCCACCGCGCGACATTATGTTCTGTTTCTGTTGTATTCGAAACCCCTTTTTTGCAATTGTTCTGGCGATTGAAGCTGTGAGGGCGGTTGTCGGCTCGAGTACAGGAGGGCAAAGTATGCGTCAGAACGAGAGAGTGTGTGTGTGGTGTTTGGTGATAGTTGGAGTCAGCCTCTCTTTTTTTGTCTCCGAGAAAAAAACCCCAAGCTGCAGTTCGGTCTGGGGCAGCGCTGCGGTGCATCGACAGCCTTGGGATTTTTTTTAGCGGGGTCGCATCCCGCACCTGAGGTGCCCTGCAGCGTGGTGGGTGACGCGCTGTGCCCCGCTTACCGGCGCTGTCAGGCACCGGCGTCACCCCGGAGCCGTCCAAATCTCCGCTCCGTCCCTGAGGTACCTCACTTGAAGCTTGATGTTACTGACTGTACTGTACCTCAGCGCAGGTACACGGTCATCCATGACTTGTGACGATGTCAATAAAACTACTCGAATCAATACTTACTTGACCATAGAAAATTCATCATTCATAATTTCCGACAGAGAGTCCAAGGCACCCAAGGTACGAAGCTCTTACATGCACACAGGTACCTAAGTCCACGCAACCCCTAGCAGCCTGTCACTCGTCCTTATCTTATCTTAGCGTCCGGGGACCCTTAAACCGAGCTTCCCTCTCCTTCCCCCGCCATCTCCAACGCTCGCCGTTCATCATCAACAGCTTCCTGAGCTTCACAACTCTGTCGCAAACACAACCACACCTCCATCACCATACCCAATCCACAAAAACCACGGCGACAACCTCCTATCGATGACAGAACACATCGTCCCCAAAATGACCTCCAATTCCGTCCCGATATCCGGCCTCGCCGAGCTCGAAAAGCATCTCGACGACCTTGTCACCTCCCCAGACACACCCCTCGAACCGAAGCTCCTCGACGATGTAGAGCTTCAACTCAACGGTCAGCCCCCCTCCTCTGCTTTTTTACCCCTACCTGTCACCCTCTCTCATAGACATCATCCAGATCAAAAAATAAAAAAACTAACAACCTCGCTCACAGAAACAAACACGCCCCCCCTCCTCCCACGCCTCCTCCCCCCTCTAACAACAATCCTCAAAACAACCCCCCATGACCCAAAACAAATCGTCTCCCTCACAATAAAACTCCTCGCCCCCGTCCCCTTCACCCAAACCCTCCAGCTCGCAGACGAATCCTCCCTCCTCGCAGCCCTCCGCTCCCCCTCCCCGCACGCGAACCTCCTCGCCCTCGCCATCCTCTCCAAAGCATCCGCCTCACCCTCCGACGCCGCAATCCTCTCCCTCATGCCCCGCGTCGTCGAGGAGCTCCTCCGCCGCTGGCTCTCGGCGCCGCAAGTCGAGGTCGGCGAGCGCGCGGGCCGCGTGTTGGGCGATTTACTCGATGTCGACTGCGAACTCCCGCCGCCGAGTCACCTCCCCAGCTCGTCTGCGACGCAAGTCGTGAAGAGGAGAGCGCCGGGCCAAGGCCGAATGTGGCGCCGCATCTTCCACGATAAAGAACTCTTCGGCCTCGTCCTCTCGCTTGCAAAAGGCGTCGACCCCTCCCCCACACCGGACGGCGAACAAGTCACCCTCACAGAGCGCCAGCTCTCCCTAGCGCAAGGCCGCATCCTCCGCATCCTCCCGCGCCTCGCGGCCCTCAACATCGTCGAAGTAGGCGTTTCGCAGTTTCCGGACCTGACAGGCTCGTCTGAGACGGGTCTCCTGCAGCTGGCGGCGCTGCACATGGTGGACAAGAGCGATACGCTGATGCACCTGAACCTCATCGACTTCTTCGAGACGTTGCTGAGTGTGATGCGCGTGGTGGAGCACTCGCACCGGACGATGGGCATTTTGAAGGATCTGGTGAGGCAGGCGACGAAGGATGATAATATGTTGAAGAATGCTCTTGGTAGTCTGCCGGATCGGACTGTGCCCGAGGAATCCGAGGCACTGAGGACCTTCATCAGAGACGTATTAGCTTGATGGACACATCCCACACCTTGAGATTTCAGTAATGAGCAGAAAAAGGGCGTTCAGGGAACACAAGGACAAAAAGGAGCATAACGAAAGGCAAGCACGGAATAAAACAGCTTCTGTTAATAATAGTTCGACTTTGGTCGATCACGAGCCCACCGAGATAGGGGGGGGGGGGGGGCGGTGACTAGAATACCTCAAATATGGACACGGAACTGCGAACAAACACCCCCTCGACGATCCGAGCCGGGTCGAGTAATTTTACATGGAAAATGATCCCCTTCCTACAGTCTATCCATTACGCCATCCCCATGTGCGTGCTCTCTGCCGTATTTTTTATGTTTCCTCTAAACAAAGCTCCACGAAGAACTAGCGCCTCATTCTCGCCGAAGCGTCACCCTCGGGCCCGTCGACTGTGTTTTCCGTGGCGCTGCTGATGATGCTGTCCCTCCGATCCACCTCCACCTTGGTCATTCCCTCAATACCGAGACCAACCTCGCCCACGCGTCTCAACACGAGCAAGAGCGCCGTCCTGAGGTCCGAAGTGAGGTCTTTGCCGAGGAGCTCTACAGCCATGACGTAAAACTCCTTAATGTGCTTCTGGAAGGCGTCCACAGGGAAGGCCGCGTAGCCCTCGAGGACATCAACCACTACGGGTCGCCAAGCGACAATGTTCCGGTGCTGGCTGTCCTCCTCGAGACCGACAAAGTCCTTGATGATGCTCTTGCATAGCGGCACCAGCGCCTGCTCAATGGCGTCGCGCGCCGCCGTGCGTTCATGACTATCGTCTGCATACATGCGGAAGAGAATGGCGACGTACGTAGCGGCCGCTCCGCTCTCCTGCTTCAGCAGGTTGGGTGCTTGCTTCATGAATCCCTCGCGCCACAGTCGCATGCGGAGCTCCTTGTCCGCGTTGAACTTTCTCGCAAAGAGGTACGACCTCTTAAGCAGTGCCATCAGGCGAAGGAGCTCTGATGTCGGGATCTGGTTGTATACGGTGTCGTTGCTGAAGAGCTCGTTCACCGTCTCAATCATGAGCAGCTGTAGCACGCATCTGGAGATGATTCTGTTGAAGTAGCGACGACGAGCCGCTGTGACCACGACCGGCTGCTGCTGCAAGTTTGACGTTGGCTTGAACTCCTCTAGCGGGGGTTGGGGTTGGGGCGCGACCGGGGCCGTCGGCGTCTTCAGGTCGTCCTCGTTGATGCTTCCGAGGTTGGCATCACTCGAGTTGCTGTCAGAGTTCTCGCCGTTCTTTTCCGTTCCGTTGATCTTGAGGTTGTCCTCCTCCATTGAGGTTTCGGTAGGGCTGAGAGGACCTGAGAACTCCAATCCGTTCGGCGGCATGTCGATGGATGCTGTTGAATTGATGGTTGTCGCGGAGAAAAGCTGGTGAGCAGTTGTGCGCGCAAACAGCTCACAGAACGCCCCTACAATCTTGGCCCAGTGCTCTGTCGTGAACTTGGTGACGTTCTTCAAGATAAGCTGCTGCAAGCAGTTGCTGCCGATTCTGGAGATGGTGTCGTTTTCTTGACAGATACACAGGGCTAGTAGCTCCAAGAAGCGGTCCAGCATATATTCCAATGCGTCAAAGTAGTGCGTGAACAGTGTGATCATGTTCCGGAGTGCCTGGATCATGGTTGTGGAGAGCCAAACAGACAGCTCCTCGTGGTTGAGTGCATTGTTGAGATCCGGTCGCGACCGCAACACCATGAAGATGGGGTAAAGTTGCTGCCGCCAGAGGATATCCCAAAAGTCGGGTGGAAACTCGCCGCCGTACTTGAGGAGGGCCTCGAAGAAATACTCGAGCGCGTTCGACCGCACCTCGAGATCCTCGCCCGTCATCAGCACATCGTGGAAAGCGAACAAAACCGGGAACCAGTATCCCTCCTCCACTGACGTCCGGTTCTGAGATCTCTGCAGTGTGTCTGCTGCTGATGCTGTGTGCTCCCCGGCGGCGTTTTGTCCCTTTTGAGACAGCGGGCATTCTGGCGTCTTGAGCATACGGGGGATGATTGACTTCAAGCTCTCAAGCGCCTGCAGACTCTTCTTCTGAAACTTCATGTTCTTGGAGAACTCGGTCAAGCAAACAATCAAGTCGGTGAAAGCACCTTGTGAGATGACAACGCCAAACTTGGTCTTGTAGACCTGTGTGACGTTCTCATACGCAAGATTCACAATGCTCTCGTTTGTCTCGCGGGCAGCTACCGTGAAGACACCAAACATTGTCCTCCATCCAGAGCGGATGTTGTCGCCTCTGGCTTGGATCATTTGGATCAAGCAACGCAATACCATGTCCTTGACAGCAATGTTTTGGGAATTTGCCAGAACGTGCTCAAACGGCTTGAGGAAGTCTTTTTGGAACTTGAAACCAGCCAATTCCTCAAGCTCCATGAAGCGCATTGACAGTTGACGAAGCGAGTCCAAGGCAAAGAAGACAATGGTAATGTTGTTGTGGCATCCCACGCGGTTGAAATGGTCTCCAAATACGTCCCAAATGTTGCTCCATTCGAAACGCACACGCGTCATGTTGTAGTAGGCAATTTCAACAATCTTTTGCAAACTGTATGTTCGCGGCGAATCGTTGGAACCGGATACCTTGATCTCATCCCAACTGACTTCTGTCAGGGCCTTTGCGAAGTGGACAATAGCCTCTCCGTTCAAATTGCCCGTGTTGGTAAATATCCTGTCGACCGCCTTGATCACCTCATCGGATCGGCTCTCCAACGCAATTTCGCTCGAGAAGCCCTGCGGGCCGGTGCCAGACCTTGGACGACCACCTCGCCTCTTTGACTGCGTAGAGGATCTAGAGTCGCTAGTATTCTCCCGCTGCGGAGGCATGAATCGCGCTTTAGACACATCAGGAACAACGCTCTCGTCCACGCCGCCTGTGATCAGCTGTAAGCGATCAAGTTGACTAATGCACATAAGGACGTCCTTCCATGATGACCTCAGAACGTTGCCTTCGGTCTGTCCGAGCTCGAGGATGACCTTGAGAGCCTCCACATTCTTGGTCATCATCTCCTGCGGATTGTTCAGGTTGGTGGTGTTCTTGAGAGCGGAAACAAAGGCTTCCCTAGGCGTTGAGAGGTCAAAAACACATGCAATTTTTGTCGCAAGCTTCATTCCCTCGAGGCATAGCTTGTTGATCTCAAGATTGTGCGTCTTCTGCATCTGACTGGACAAGGCCGAGAAGTACGACATCCATGTGACGTCGAACATAGGGCCGATGTGCTGGAAAGAAGTAGCGGGGATGAACCTGACACCAGATCGCTGGGCGTTTCGTCTTTGGTTCTTGTATAGAGTCTTGAAGAGCTGCTCTGACCGCAACGCAATCTCTTCTGACTGTTGTAAATAGGCTTCTCTTTGCAAGTCTCGGCCCATGTTCGACAGGGCTTGGCCAAGACCAGCAGCAATGCCAGTCGATGGTGGTGGGACAGTGCCAGCCGCAGCCGCCGCCTCGCGTTCACTCTTGAGAACAATCTCGTTGCTCGCAATCTCATCATAGATGGCCAGCAGGTACTCGTCCGGCAAGTCAGCATTGTCGTTAATGCCGCGGTTGTTCTTGATGAATTCCTCCTTGCTCATGCGCTTGGCGATTTTGCTGCTGTGCAAATCGGTGTTGAGCATAATGACAGAGTATGCAAGAACGTAGGCCGTGTCAGCATTGGCAAAGGCATTCGGATTGCCCATCACGTAGCGTTCGGCGAACTTCAACATGTAACGATCGATCTTTTGCGCCTCTCCGGGGAGTCGGAAAGACTGGAGGAATGTCCGCAGCGCATCGACGAATCGCTTCTTGGTGAAGTCCATGGCATCGACAAAAGCGTGCATAGTCTCGATGTTCTTGGGGTCGCCTTCTCCCAGGTACTCGCCAATTTGCGCCTTGTCCAAACGCTCCTCGGTAAGCAAAAACTTGGCGACATCTTGCGGGCTATCGCTCGGAATGAAGCCGTTTTCGATGAGGAGCTTGATGCCCCTCTTGGGTTTGAAGTTGAACTGCTTAATAGCGTTGTTCATCGCCGTCTTCCTCGCCTTGGCCTTCTCAAGCGACGCCGGATCATCCTCCATGACGGGCGTTGATGGCGCAGGGGTTTCGAAGCGAGACGGGTTATCGTACATGCTCGGATCAATCGAAGGACGTACATCTTCGGAAGTTCTCGTTTCGCCATCTGGCCTCACCCCGTTGGTGTCTTGCCGCACAGCGGCGGACCAGTCCACCATTGACCTTAAAGAATCCACCAAGGCATCCAGAGCCACCCGCTTCATGACATATTCCTTGGGAATCTCATTTTCAGGTTCAGTGTGAGGCGTGATTTGCGCGACAGAAAGGGGCGGTGGTAGGATGGCTCTTAGCTGCCATTCGCCTGCCGACGTGCTCTTTGCGCTTCGTTCCTCGTATTGCTGCTCTTGAACGGGCGTTACCGGAACTGATGCTGTTGAAAACTTGGACAAGTCCTCAATAATAGTCTGGAAAATGTTGTCGACACTGCGCTCGCAGTCGTAGTTGAGATATGTCTCCACCAGGGCCTTCGAATCCGCGCAAAACCTGTTCAAGATGTTGACGACGTACACCTTTTGAGAAATGGGAGCTGTCCGCCGTGCCAGTAAGGCGAGATAGATTTCGTTGAGGAACACTGCGATTTCCAGCTTGAAGACATGTCAGCACGAAGACGGAAAGCGCGTAGAGAATCTGAGCACCAACCTTGAAAGACTCTCTCATGTACTTGAGCATCAACCAGAAAATCTCGCAGCAGACATCAAATACGCGGTCGACGGAGCTGGCACCGTTGCGCGTTATGCTGAGACACAAGTAGAACTTGACTGCTTGAAGAAAGGTCGTGGGCTCGTTGCTCTTGGAGTTCGTAATGGTACATAGAGGAGAAGTAAAGACGGCAATGTTGTTGTTGAGGAGGGTGTGAATAAGGTGAAGAGAGATGAGCTTCGAGCGCATGGGCTGGCCGCGAAAGTCGTACAGCTGATCGGGCGGCAGCACTTTGGTGGAAAGG